CCCATAGAAAAAAAAAAAAAAAAAAAAAAAAAAGGAAAGGAAGGAAGAAAAAAGAAAAAGATCTGTCAGGCAGAGTGTGGTGATGCACACCTGTAATCCCAGCATTCGAGAGGCTGAGGCAGGACTGCCTTGAGTTTGAGGCCTGCCTGGACTACACTGTGAGTACAAAACTAGCCTGAACTACATAGCGAGACCCTGTCAAAAACAAAAACAAAAAAAACCCCAAAAGAATAAAATCTGTGTCTAGGTAGCCTGCAGATATAATGGCCTATGGCTAGTCTATAATTCTACCATTCAGGAGACTAAGGCAAGAGGGTTGCTGTAAGTTCAAAGCCAGCCTGAATTACATTATCAACATTGTCTCAAATAAATAAATAACCACCAAAGCCGCCATAGTGGCACATTCCTGTAATCCAGGGAAGATTGAAAGCACAAATCAAACCTAGGCAATTTAGCAAAACTCAAAAAAATAAACTGGGAAGTAACTGTTTCCAGCACACTAATTTTAAAAAACAGGTTCTTCACAACAACCTTTTAAATCATAGTCCACTTGTTTTCTTTCATAACATTTATCCAAAAAAACGAAAATTTAACCATTTTCTGACACACTAGAACACTGATTTCAAGAGGGCAGCATTATATTGAGACTCATGTACTAATCTGCAGGTAAGAGCATTCCCAACTATTGCTGAAATGGTTACATTGTAATATGCTTTAGTGTTAACTATCTAAGTTGTAGTTTGTTACCTCTTACTTTCTAGATATAAAATGGGAAAATATCTGGATGTATACTACAATGGTTAGTTAGATCAATAGTTTTCAAAGTGGGTCCCTGGCAGAACAGCAGTCCCTTGGAAATTAGAAATGCACAATCCCAATATTCTTGACTCAATGGATCAGAAACAAGTTACACCCATTACTGCACAATCCCTCTAGGTGATTCCAATGTATACTAAAGTTTAAGAGCCACGTATATATATATGCACACGTGTGTGTGTGCACGCACATGCATGTCTTTCCACATCATGCAGAGAAAAAGGATTATAAAGGACAAATGTCTGGGTGGCGCATACCTACAAACTCAGCATTCCGAGATGAGCCAGGAAGTTTATGTTTCATAAAAATAAATAAGTAAAATTGGGGCTGTACCTCAGTGCAAAGCCCTGGATTCAAACCCCAGTGGTGGTGGTGGGGTGACAAGAATTCATCTAGATAGATAGGTCTTAATTTGTAGTCATTCCTTCAAAAAGGATAAGATACTATAATTGCATTACCTAATGAATTTAATTTTTGAAGATTTCAGAATCAACCTCAATGCAGTCATATTCACTTTTACTAGTACTTAAAAACTCCAGTAAAATTATCAGTTTTTCTTTTTTTTTTTTTTTTTTTATATATACTCAAAGATTAGTTTACACAACAGAACTGTCTGGGTCAGAGGCACTTTTTTCATTGCCAACCCACCCCACCCTCCATAAAACAAAGTTTTGTCTGTTGAGGCAATGAGAGGGATAATATTACACGGGTTAAAATTGGAATTTAAAATGGGTGTGCTAGTTACAGCACAGCATGTCTATTCACAGCACAGGAGGCTTGCAAATTCAAGGCCCACCTGGACTAGTGAGCCCCTACCTCAAAAATACAAAGACTGAGATCTAGGCATATGCATCAAAGGCACTAAACTAAAATTTAAGTGTTCTTTTGAAAAATAAAAATAGCAAAAAATGTTTGAATTCAACTTACAAGACAGTAAAACTAACATCCCCCAAATCAATCTTTATTATTATTATTTTTTTGGTACCAGTGATCGAACTTGGGTCCTTGTGCTTGAAAGGCAGGTGCCAGAATCACTGAGCTAAATCCCCAGCCCTAAATCAATCCTTATTTAATAATATCCTTAATGAAAAGTTCTTTAAAAATTATCCAGGTACAGTGGTGCATGCCTGTAATCGCCACACCCAGGAGGCAAAGCAGGAGGATAATAAGTACAAGGCCAGGGCTTGGGGAATCAGCACAGTGGTGCCACTCGCCCTGTCTCTCAAGCCCAAGGTCCTGAATTTGATCCTTGTGTACAAAGAAAGAAAAAGGGAAAAAACAAAAAAAACAAAAACCCTGCACAAGTACAAGTCCAGCCAGGGCAACCTAGTCCATCTGTCTCAAAAATAAAAATATAAAAGAGCTTTGGATATAGCCAGTGGTGGGGCACTTGCCTAGCATGTACAATACCAAAAATGTAAAAAATGAATTTGTAAGCCCAAATGGTATTCTGTAAAAATATTAAAAAAATGTGAAGACATAGACAATATAGCACACACCATAACCTGTCAAAGCAAAACAAATTTGGAGTATGGTGTCATTTTAAATTTTAATAAAATAGATAATTTCATATTACATAGAGTAAGTCCATCCACTCATTATTGATAAAATTTCAGAAATCATTTCTATAAAAAGTTTAGTATTTGACTGGGAATTAATTCATTATAATGTGACTTCTACAGGTACAGAATTCCCATCATCACCCCATCCTTTTAATTTTGTGAAACTTTAAAAATACAGAAAAGTACAAAAAATAAGACAAGATATCCATATACCACAATGTAGAATTAGTATCTTCATATATTTACTTGCAGTTAAGAGAAATGGATATTTATATAAAAAGATTAAGACCCTCTTTTTTTTTCCCCACCCCTTCCCTTCCCTTCCCTTCCCTTCCCTTCTCCACTCTTCACAGGCCACCATCAAGTTTGGTCTGTATCCTTCCGACTGATTTCAAAACATTTACATATGTATGTTTATGCATGAGCAATATAAAGTATTGAACTTCATCAAGGAAACTTTTATAACTCAAATTTACAAAAAGTCATTGTACAAGCATAATTCTGCAACTTTTTCCCTCTCAACATTTTTTAAAGATATTTCCATTAACACATGGCTCTCATCTGCTGCCTTTTTACAGATGTGTAGTATCCTGTAAGAACTCTCCATTTTGTTCCAGATGGACATTTAAATTGTTTCCAATATCTGGCTACTATGTATTTCCTGAGCATACATACAAGTAAAACTACATGTATTTCTGAATTTGTTACAAGGAATGTTTTCCTACTCACAAGGTCTTAACCATATTTTGTATACTGGTTTTTTATAATTCTTCCTTCAACTCCTGTGGGTTTTACTATTCGGTGTAATCCATGGTCCACTCTTCACCCTCGGAGAATAAATTACCTCCAAATAATTTTTAAAAGTCTTATTTCTTCACCTCTGAATGCCACCCCTTTCATATTCCAAATTCGAAATGAAATGCATAGGTCTTTCTGGAATCTTCTGCTCTACTGAACTGCTGTCACAAAGGCTTATCTGTAATGATCATATATCTCTTGATTCTTTCTGATACTTATACCTTTTCTTATATTGGTGAAGAACTCCAGACTTATGTGAGTGCAGCAACAGGCCTCTATTTTCTGTTCCCAATTTTAGGGAAATGCATCTAAAGTTAATATTACCTCTGCTATAGTTTACTCAGTCAGGGAGTCTTTTCATCATACAAATGTCTTTTTCTTCAGTATGAACTAGTTGGTGTCCTGTAAGTTTTAGCATTTATTGAAGTTCTCACCTGCAATGCTTTGCTTCAGAATATTTCAGGTGTACTGTGAGATACAAATTCCTGGTGCATTTTCCCATTTTGATGATATTCACGTTTTTTAATGAGTATGAATTTTCTGGTGTCTAATGTGGTGTGACTTCTGACTGAAAGCTTTCCCACATTCACTACATTGATAAGGCTTCTTACCTGTGTGTATTCTCAAATGCAGGGCTAGGGTTGAGAACTGTGAGAAAGCTTTCCCACATTCGTTACAACCATAGGGCTTCTCACCTGTATGGCTTCTCACATGCACAGTGAGAGATGAACTCTGAGAGAAGGCTTTTCCACATACATTGCATTCATAAGGTTTATCACCTGAATGAATTCTCACATGCACAATAAGTGATGTTCGCTGAGAGAAGGCTTTTCCACATTCATTACATTCATAAGGTTTCTCTCCAGTGTGAATGTTTTGATGCTTAATGAGGTACTTCTTCTGGCCAAAAGCTGTTCCACATTCATTACATTTAAAGGGTTTCTCTCCAATATGAATTTTCTCATGCTCAGTAAGATTTGATTTGCCACTAAATGTTTTCCCACACTGCTTACATATGAAGGGCTTCTCTCCCGTGTGAGTTCTCTGGTGTCTGATGAGGTTTGACTTCTGAATAAAAGCTTTCCCACAATCTTTGCACTCAAAAGGTTTCTCTCCAGTGTGAATCTTCTGATGGGTAAGGAGGTTTTCCTTCTGGCTAAAGGATTTTCCACAATCATTACATTCAAAAAGCTTCTCTCCAGTATGGGTGTTCTGATGTTTAATGACATACTGCTTTTGGCTAAAGGCTTTCCCACATTCATTACATTCAAAAGGTTTCTCTCTTGTATGAAAAAGCTCATGCTCAGTGAGATTGGATTTGTGGCTGAAGATTTTCCCACATACCTTACAGGCAAAGGGGTTTCCCCCACTACAATTTCTCTGCTGGCTGAGGTGTGACATCGGAATGGAAGCTTGCCCACATTCACAAGATTTCTCTCCAGTATGAACTTTTTGATGAATTAGGATTTACTTTTGGCTGAAGGTATTTCCACATTTCTTACATTTATAAGGCTTCTCTGTGTATGACCTCTCAAATGCAGAATAAGGAATAAAGTTTAAGGACAATTTTATCACACGTAGCACAAAGCTCTCTCCAGGAAAAACTGCTAATATTCAATGAGGTTATACTATGTTCTCTGGTATCTCTCCAGTATGAATTTTCTGTTGCTCAATGAGATCCGTCATCTAGCTAATGGCTTTGTAATATTCCTTAGAAGCACAGGGTGTCTCTTCAGCATGACTTCTTAGTTCAATGGGACAACACAGGTGAACAAATGTTTGCCTACATTCAGTAAATTCATACAGTTTTTCTCCAGTGGGGAATACTCTGCTATCAAACAGGGTACAAAAGCATTTCCACACTGATTTACAAGAGGCTATTACTACAAGGAGTTAGCTCTGGTAGACGATTTTCAAATTAATAAAGCTGATGACTCTTTTCTACACAACCTCCCTCATAATTAAGCCTAAACTGTTTTCTGAAGTGAAAATTTCAAAAATGTGTTGCCCTAAGAGAAATAAGATCTGTGAGAAAAGGGTTTTTCTAATTTTCTTATGTTCACTATTTTTTTGCCCAGTCAGTATTTATTGGAGATGGATACAACTTGCCTCCAAAGTCTTGATGTTTCTCATCTGGTCATTATCTTCTCAGGTTTATTCTAAAATAGAGTACAAAGAATCATCATTTAAAGGAATTAATGTACAAAGTGCTCAAAACTGTATGCAGCACATAGTAAATATTACCTTTAGGTTATCATTACTATTATCTGTAAATTTCCCCATTATTTGAAATAAAGTTTCAGATTTTAGATACGACTGCTATTGCCAACTACATTTTAGTATGTATACGTGCTCCCAAAGCAAGCACACCAACTACATTTTGAGAAGAAAACTCTTGTAGAGGAATTTGGGGTAAAAAATTAACACTTGTGCATCTATACAGCTTAGATTACGATTACAAATGAGAAAGTCCATACCTGGCTTTGGTGGCACACACCTATAATCTTAGCACTCTGGGTGGCTGATGCAGGAGGATCTTAAATTTGAGCTCAGGCCAGACATGGTGGTGCAGGCCTATAATCCCAACACTCACGAGGCCAAGCCCAACCTACTAGTTTAAGGCCAGCCTGGGATACTTACTGAGTTCAAGGCCAATCTGAACTATTAGTGAAACCCTGTCTCAAAATAAAAAGCCAGGCATGGTGGTACATGCCTGCAATCCCAGCTCTTTGAGATCACGGAGTTTAAAAACAGCCTGGGAAATTCAGTATCTTAGTTGTCTCAAAATAAAAAATATAAAAGGGCTGGAGATGTACAGTATGAAGGTTCTGGGTTGAATCCCTAGCACTACAAATAAATGAATGAATGGCAGGAGATGTAGCTCAGTGTAAAGGCCCTGGGTTCAATCCTAGTATCCACCCAAGCCTCATTAAAAAGAATAACTTGGGCCAGGGATTTAGCTCATTGGTTCCACCACCTGCCTCATAAGTGCAAGGTACCAAGTTTGATCCATGATACCAAAAAAAAAAAAAAAAAAAAAAGGACAAACTCACAAAGAAAAACATACCAGAAAGATCACTACACACCAATGTTTCAATAACAGAAACAAACTACATTTTCAATGTACAGTAGAACATTATTTGAAGTTCATGTTAAGACTCTAAAAGATACCACTGGCAACCCAGCCGATTCATTTAAAAAAAAAAAAAAATCAGAAAAAAATGAAGGGAATCAACTATCTCAAAATAAGGACTGCAGGTAATAACTAGAAAAATGATGTAAGGAACAACTGAATTCATATCCTCCCAATCAAAAAGATAAGAGTTGACTCTACTTCATATGAAGTAGCACCAGTAAGGTTGGGTGAAATGCACCCAGATCATAACATACTCTTTGTCACAAAATTTAACCTTATTCATGCCACGAATCTTCATACTCAGGATAGCCAGAGAGGCTATACTGAAATCAATGGGATTATCTACTTCTAAACATGGTTAAACCTTCAGCACCATTTTGTAGTGAAGGCCCCCAAAAATGTGCTCATGAGGTACACATACCCATGAGCAGGGTATAAAAGGTCCTTTTCTGTTTTTGTTTTTGGTACTGGGATCAATCTTGGGTCCTTGTGCTTGTGAGGCAGGTGGCAGAACCACTGAGCTAAATTCCCAGCCTAAGAATCTTTTTCTGAAGAAAGCCTATGATAAACCTAGGATGCTCCTCCAAGATGCATTACTTGTACTTAAATTTCACTGGCCAAGCCAGGTGTGGTGGCACATACCAATAATCCCAGCACTTGGGAGGCTGAGGCAGGAGTATCGCTGTGAGTTCGAGATCAGCCTAGGCTGGTCTCACATAGTGAGTTCCAGATCAGTCTCAACTACATAGTGAGACCCTGTCCCCACTGCAAAAAAAACTTTTCACTGGCCAAAACAGAAGACCATGGGTGAGTTCACTAGAGTTAAGGCAGTATAACTGTTATTCACGGAGGGGACCATTGGTCCGTAAGACATTTTACTTTCATCCACTGAAGCTTTCCAGGTTAAGAGTGAATAACCATCTTTGGTGAGCCATTTTGAAATATGACAGTGCGGCAAATATTCCACATACATTTGAGGAACTCCACTAAAATTGGAAGGCAGATCAAAATAAAGAAAAAGTTGGGCATGGTGGCTCATGCTCATACTCCCAGCATTGGGGAAGGCTGAGGCAGGAAGATGGCACATTTGAGCCCAGCCTGGGCAAGTTAGCAAGACATTGTCTCATAATAAAAAAAGAGCTGCAGGGGCCAGGGATTTAGCTCAGTGGTTCGGTGGCCTGCCTTGCAAGCGTTAAGGACCCGTGTTCAAATGCAGCTCTTTGCAAAGACTGTGGGCTCAATCTTCAGTGGGTGGGGGGGAACGGGCAGACAGACAGACAGACATGGAGAATGACAGATGGAGGGAGAAAGCGAGGGGGGAGGGGGAAAGAGGTGGAGAGAGAAGGGAGAAGGGAGAAGAGGAGGAAGCAAAGGAGGTGGCCAGGCATGGTAGTTACATGCCCATAATTCTAGCACTCAAGAGGATCTTAAGTGCAAGGCCAGCCTAAATGACACAGCAAGTTACAATGTTAGCCTGGATTACATAGGGAGTCCATTTCTCCAAAACAAAACCTAATACCAGTCACAAAATTAGGAGAAGATATTTTACCAGTGAAAGAGTTGGGCTGCGGATTTGGCTCAGTGGTTTCGCCACCTGCCTCACAAGTGCAAGGGCCCAAGTTTGATCCCTGGTACCCGCCCCCTACAAAAAAGAATATTAACAGGATCTTGTGGGTAAGAAGCCCAAGAAAAAGTATTATTAGTAATTAAGGCTATGCAGAAATGGGAAAATTTTTTTACATTACCCGACTCTAGCACCCCCCAATTTCTCTCTCTTCTCTTCTCCCTCCCTCCCTCTCTCATTACAGTACCAAAAGAAGAATATTTATAATCATTTGAAAAGGCTATTTAAATATTTCTCCCAACTAGATGTGGTGGCACATGCCTATAATCCTAGCACCTTGAGGGGCTGAGGCAGGAGGATCACAAATTCAAACCCAGCCTGGGTAATTTAGCAACTTAAGTGATATCTTATTTAAAAAAGAAAAAAGGCTAAGGATGTTACTCAGTGCAAAGTCCAGAGTCCAACCCTCTATATCATGACAAATCCCTAACACTTTTCCTTTCCATATCTACATAGAAAAGCAAGGAGTATGTGAATCCAGGTGTTTTCTATATAATTCTATCAAAATGACATCATTACAGTAAATAAGATGCCAGCTGTTTGGGGGGCCCAGGATATAGCTCAGTGGCACCACCACCTGTCTCACAAACACAAGGTCCTGAGTACAATCCCTGGTACTGAGAAAGAGTCCAGCTGTCTTCTATTAAACAAGATCGTGAGGGTCGGGGACTTAGCTCAGTGGTTCCGGCACCTGCCTCGCAAGCACAAGGACCCAAGTTTGATCCCAGGTACCATAAATAAATAAACAAACAAACTAAAAAATCTGCAAAACAATTTCACTCTTCTCATGTTCTTTTTTTTTAATTGTTGAGGGTTCTTACTTTAATTTAGAAATGTTATGTTTACATCTGATAATATTTTAGGTAAATCAATATTTTAAAATATCATAGTTTTACTTTGAAATATAATAAATATTATCATATTCCCTACAAACCAAAAATCTTTGGGATAATCAACTTTCAAAAATAAACAAACTTCTGCCAGGCATGTTGGTACACACCTATTCCCAGCGTCTGGGAGGCTAAGGCAGTAAGATTACCATGAGTTTGAGGCCAGCCTGCACTACACAGAAACTCTTATCTCAAAAAACAAAACAAATGTACACACACATACACACACACCCATTATTTGACTTCTAATGAGTACAGGGTTTCTTTTTGTGGGGCTGAAATGATCTAGATAGTGGTAAAGGCTGCAGTAACTTTGTGAAAGTCCTAAAAACCAACAAATTGTATACTTTAACAGGTACTTTTTGTTATACTAAATCCCAATAAAGCTCTTAAAAAAAAAAAACCAGAGACCAAACAGTTTGAGAATAGATGCTCAAAGTATTTCTCAGGATCAACTGAACAAATACTTTTTTGCTTCCTTAGTATGTGCACAGTACAAGTCTATACTTTAGGAACAAATAGTATTAAATAACATGGCAAAATCCCCTGCCCTCATCAAGCTTACATTTTTTGGGGCAGGTACCCGGGATCACACTCCGGACCTTGTACTTGCAAGGCAGGAACCACTGAACTAAATCCCTGGCCCCTTCAAGCTTCCATTTTAATAGACAAAAGATAAGCAGATGGTTTGATATTAAGTCTAAGTGCTATGGAAAAAATGTAATAGTTTCAATTTTAGATAGGGTGATGTGTAATTAGGAATTACCTCGGAATGAAAAAAAATGACCCTTATGTTATCTGGAGGAAAATAATTCTCAGAAGGTAAAACAAATATACAGGCACAAAAGCCTCCCAAGCATGTAAAGTATATAATCTATGAATTTGCATGTCATGTTCCTCATGTCCTTTAAGTGTGCCTAGCCTGATCCCCTATTTTTTAACATTTGTAGGATTTACAGAGCCTCCTAGGAGTTCCAAGAATGTCTCTCTCCCTCCCTCCCTCTCTCTGTCCTGAGTTTACTCCCTGCTACCAAAACAAACAAACAAAAAACCTCTGAGTCTCTTGTAAAGCCCTTTCTCTTAATTTCTATTCACAATCATGTTCACTTTTTCTAAAGTGTTTACCTGAAATGTTTTAAAACCCAAATCTGTATGTAGTAAAGTCTTTTAACATCCAAACTGTAACCTATAATTCTGGATTGCACCAATGGTTCTCTCTTTTCTATTTTTGAATGACTAACAGCTGACTGTTATGACTAAAACATCCTGGGGGCAATTATCAAGGAGAGAAGAATGGTGTGAGGGGAGGTGAGGAAGGAGGGAGTACAAAGTTTAGATTCAAGAAAAGACAAAAACCAAATGCAAACTCTGAATCTTGACTGAACACTGAAAAAAAAGCAAGGTAGAGCAACACATTCTGTAATCCCAGCACCTGGTGGCTGAGGCAGGATTATCCCAAGTTCTAGGCCAGCCTGGGCAGTGTAGCAAGACTCTATCTCCAAAAAAAAAAAAAAAAATTTTTTTTTTTGGTACCAGGGATTGAACTCAGGCCTTTATGCTTGCGAGGCAGGCAGTGGAACCACTGAGCCAAATCCCCAGCCCTCTATTTCAAAATCTTTAAAGGGCTGGAATGGAGCTCAGCAGTAGAGTGCTTATTTAGCCTGTGTGAGGCCTTGTGTTCAATGCCTAGTACTAGAAAAAAAAAGGGGGTGGGGAGAACTAAGTAACAATCTTCCTACAACAGTAATTCACAGATGAATAGCACCTCATGTGTACTCAAAAACTTCCTATAAGAACAAAACTTAAAACTTCCCCCCTTCAAAAGGTTATAGTATAGATTCTAGACAAATATAAAGATGGGTAAAATAAAACCTGTAGTATGAACAACCAGGAGGCTTATCAAAAAAGGCAGAATTAACAAAAACATTTTAATGAAAATTGAATTCAAATTTAAATGATCAGCAAGACCTGGATTAATTAGAGCACTTCATAATCAAAGGCAATTATTAGGTGCACATCTGTAATCCCCAGCACTCTGGGAGGCTGAGCCAGAAGGATCCCAAGTTTGAGCCCAGCTCGAGCAATTTGGCAAGTTCCTGTCCAAAGGTGGAGATGTAGTTCAAGAGAAAGAAAGCCGTGGGTTCAATCGCCAGTATCAGACCCCCCCAAAAAAACAAAGGCAGGGGGATTTTTATAGAGGAAAGGAAATTTGTTCATATTTATATCCATATATTCTTTTGAGTAGACTAAAATCTTTTTAAAGGTTTGACTGACAATATCATAGGATGATGAGAAAAGTAGTAACCTAGAGTAAGCTAGACACAATATAAAACTGGTTTATGTGATCTCTGTGCCTGGAAACAAAGTTATAAAATTTGTATTTTTTTTCTTTCAGACAATCTCATTTATGTAGTTTGGGCTGGCTTCGAATTTAGGGTGATCCTCCTGCCTCAGCCTCCTGAATGGTGGGATTACATGTAATCCACCACACCTGGCAAAGTTTCTAATTTGGGAAGGATATTGTAGTAGTCTCTTTTTCCTCAGGAGACAAGTTGCAAGACTCCTAGTAGATGCGTGAAAGCACAAATAGTACCAAATCCCATAATATTGTTTTTTTCATATACATACATACATACTGTACCTATGACAGTTTAATTTATGAATTATGCCTAGTAAGTTAGAAACAAAATAAAAACAATTATACACTAATGAATGTTTTATGAATATGGAAGTCGGGGGGGTCAAGACAAAGTCTCATGTAGTTCAGGATGGTGTTTTTTTTTTGTGTGTGTGTGTGTGGTTTTTTTTTTTTTTTTTTTTTTTTGTATTGAGGATTGAACTCGGGACTTTGTACTTGAAAGGCAGGGAGCTAAATCCCTGGCCATCAGGGTATTCTTGAACTCACTATGCAGTCCAGGCTGGCCCTGAGGTTACAGTGATCATCCTGCCTCAGCCTCCTCCATGTTAGGATTACAGGTATACATCACCACACCCAGCAGTTTTCTGTGAATGTGGACTCTCTCTCTGAGTTGCCAAAAGGCGGTGTGTACATAGCATGGACACAATGAACAAAGAAATGGTTCACATCGCAGTACAGGAACAATCAAATTTATGAATAGCTTATAACTGAAATTTTTTATTAATACTGTATATTCAGACCATAGTTGACTGGTTAACTGAAACCACAGCAAGTGAAACTGGATGTTATTCTCTATATGAGACCAATTATTCCCAATGGTCTTCCAAATCAGAATAAAGGCCAAAGCCAATAATTTGGCCTGTGACTTAACCAAACCTAGTCTTGATTCCCTTTTGTTCACTATGTGTCAGCCCACTATTCCTTGATCACTATTCCTTGAACATGAGAGCAAGCTGCTATATTAGGGTTTTTAATACTTCTTATTCTTTCTGGGTAGTCTTCCTCAAATATTGCATTTGTCACCCTCATACTCCAGATCTTTTCTCAAATATCACTTTCTCAGTGAGACCTTTCCTTGACCAACTTACTTTAAATCATAACCTGATAGGCTGGAGGGTGTAGCTCAGTGGTAAAGCATGATCAAGGCCCTGGGTTCAATTCCCAGCACTGGCCCCCAACAAAAAACTAAAATTAAATTACATCTCCAATAAAAAATAAATGGAAACAAAGCCTTTGCAAATAGGGAGGGGTACGAGGGGAAAAATGAGAACCAAGACTTGTCACGTAGAGGTACAAGATCCCAACAATGAATGTAACTGTACTGTATCCCTAAAATGTACCAATAAACTCAATTAAAGCTGAAAAAAAATAAATAAATAGGGAGAGGTAGAGAGGTTGAAGGGAGGGCAAGAAAAAGGGGGAAAAAATTAAGAACCAAGATACATCACATAAAGGGACAAGTTCCCAATGATGAATGTACTGTATACCTAAAATGTACCAATAAAAGAATTTGAGGGAAAAAAAAGCAAAATTAAACAAATAAATAAGTTACATGTCCAAAGAGCCCTCACTTCAACAGTTATTCTTTGTTTTTTTCAATAGCACTTGTTCCCACGTGATGGAACATGTTTGTTACTTATTATTCAATCTGTCTTCCCCAACTGTAACACAGCTTCTAGGAGAAAAATTTTGAATGTCTTGATCACTGACATTTCATTAGTATATGAAATAGTAATTCCTAACATTCAGTAACTGCCTCGTGGTAGAAATGTAAATTAGTTACTTTTTTGTTTTGTTTTGTTTTGTTTTTGGTACCAGGAATTGAACTTGGGACCTTGTGCGTGCAAGGCAGGTGGGGGAACCACTGAGCTAAATCCCCAGCCCAACTTTTGAGACAAATGTGCCTATTTCAATCACATTTTCACTTAAGAGTAAATTATCATGTAGTCTTGTCTGTGTATCTCTGCAAGTCCATATAAACAAGTTTTCACATTTATGTCTTCAATTGCACAAACCCAGAAATAACCTAAATGTCCATTAATTAAGAGATAAGTTTAGGGCCGGGGATTTAGCTTGACCCAAGTTCAATCCCTGGTACAAGAAAAAAAACAAAACAAAACAAAACAAACAAACAAACAAAAAACCCAGAGACAAGTTTAATCATGTGTTGACAGAGAATTATAAGGAAATTACATACACAACAGGATATGTACCATACCACTATTTACATGACAAAGTATAGATACTGTATAGATACAGTATATTTGTGACAAAGATACACAGTATATACTTGGTTTATTCACAGAGGACCTAAAGACGGATATGTGAGACACTCTTAGAAGTGACTATCTTTAGAAAGAAGTAAAAGGGTCAGAGCTATTAAGAGACTTTTTGCTCTGTATCTTGATATTCAAAAATGTCTCAGTTCATGTACTAAATAAGAAACACTCATATATACTGAAGGAGTCCAACTGCCACCATCATAGGCTGACCAGAGACTTTAAGCCTCGTTCCATCCTGTTTTTACAACTGCTAAAGATATTGCTAAACCTCCTATCATTCTGCCCTTCTCTGACAGGAAACCACTACTCCTTGCACTTTCTCAAGCTTTGTCCCTGGCTTTCCCCCTTGAAGTCCCTTTTGACCCCCTTTCACAGCCCCCCTTTATTCTCATGACCCTATAAAAGACCTTATAGCCTGGTCTAGTCTAAGTGGCAGGACGGTTCCTCTCAGGTTTGTTCTAAATAAACTGGTCCTCACTGGCGTGCTCATACCTTTGTTTTTTCCTAACATACACAGTCACGAAAAGCGGCAGAAAGGCAGCAATGAAAAGAGGTACTGGAGGCAAATGAAGAGTGGCAGGCTGATCTATGAAAGAGGAGGGTAGGAAGACAAATACAAAATATAATTATGAGGCACTTAACCACTGAAAGAATGAGACAAAATACCAAGTAATAAATAGGAACCTAAATATTAGATGATAGGTAGATTTAAGACCTAAAAAAGATAATGGACAAGGAAAGGAGATTATACACATAAGGAGACACGAAACCGAAAGAAAACCATCACAAGAGAAGCAAAACTCAAGTGTGAAGTGCTAACATCAAGATGAGAGATAAGAGGGACACACAGGACACACAGCCCTTCAAAATCAGATGAAAGATGTACAGTAGCACTGCCTGGGTTCAGGTCTATAATCCCAGCTACTTGGGAGGCTAAGGCAGAAAGAGGGAAGTTTGCAACAGTATTTGGGAAAATTAGCAAAACCCTGTATCAAAGGGCAAAAAGCTGGGCGTGGTAGTGTACGCCTGTAATCCTAGCACCCAGAAGGTTGAGGCAGGATCACTTGAGTCTGAGGCCAGCCAGAACTGCACAGGGAGACTCTGACCCCCCACCACCAAAAAGAAGACCAAAACACCCCTAAAACACACAAAAAAACGAAAGGGCAAAGAGAGCAAGATACAGCTTGGCCCTCCCTAGGTTCAATATCCAGTACTGAAGGAAAAAATGTACTGAAACATCTGGAACTGTCACTGGTGGGATACTTATGAAATTCACAAGTGATACCCCAAGACAAGGGCCTATAAGGAAATGTCCCCGGAAGCATTTTAGATATCAGTGTTAATTAAGCATCTCCACCAGTCTGATTGCCACTCACCTAGACAGACTCTCCACCATCCAGTTTGTCTTCTTCAATGGAAGATCATATCAGGTTTTCAAAGTCTCTTTAAAACCTGCTACTGGAGGAAATGACACAGCGCCCAACTATTACTGCTGTGACCAAAATACCGTTCTAGAATTCAGAATGAGCCCTGGGGCCCCTGAACCTTCTGAAGGATGAGGAAGGTGCACTTTCCAGAGATGCGCAAGGAAATGGCCCTGTGAAAAGAGAAAAAGTAATGATTTTTTACCTTGTGATTAAAGCACACAAATGTGTACACAAAAGACCTAGAACTTTTCTTCTTGAGACAGGGTCCTGCTACATGGTTCCGGCTAGCCTAGAACTGGTGGAGATCCTCCTGCCTCAGCCTTCCAGATGCTAGGATTACAGGTGTAGGCTACCATGGCCTAGGAACCTAGGATATCTTGAATCCTAAGAAAAATTTTTTTCCAGTACTGAAGATCAAAATTAGGACCTCTGAGCTTGAGAGGCAGGCCCAATGCCACTGAGCTAAATCCCCGGCCCTTGAATCCTAAATTTAAAAGTCATATTCACTGAGCTATTTAAAGTCTCCATATGTCCAGAAATAGGGAAAGAAAAGTGAGAATTAGCTTTCAGAATTTTTCTTACACAGGAAATCTACTCATTTCTCACATGATTGGTTATTTTTCTCCAGCACCATACTCCACCCAGCTTCCTAAACAGATTTTTACTATTGTCCTTACTCCTGCACAAATGCTGCTTATCTTTGATTATACCAACAAGTGCTTACCTTTTAGAACGAAGTCACAAGGCTACCTTGTGTAGTTAATTTTTCAGGATTAAAAACTTCCTGAATATATGTTTATCCACTTGTTCAAATTTTCTGATTTTGATCACTGTATACTGTATACATGAAATAGAATGTTTGTTTATAAAAAAAAACTGATGTTGAAGTACTTATAAAGGGAGTGTTTTCTGTGACTTAGCCTCAAATGTTCAGGAAAAACTTTGACATTCATGTATTTAAAGAAAAAGAAATAAAAAACACAAAGCAAAAATGCAAAATGACTGGTGATTTTGAATAAATGGTACATGGAAATTCTCTTGTACCATACCAAATGTTTTATAAATTAGTCAAACAAAAAAACAAAATCATAAAAACAAGTTACTACTCACATACACACATCACTTATTATGTATTCTGAAACTTTTTTGTCACAAATTCATAACTGGGTATAGCAAATACAGAAGGCTCAGAACTTGACTAAAACAATAATGTACACAGAGGGAAATATGAAAAGATAAGTTAGCTGGAGACAACTGATACAAGGGATATAAAATTTGATATTCTGGACATTGAAAGTATCAGCTTTCTAAGAAACATGCAGGCAGTTCAGAATAGGCCAAGAGTAAAATTTGTCAGTTATCAGAATTATCATTGTGGCTAAAGAAATAGGATGTTACTGTGACTACTAACAGAATATACAGTATGTGAAGAAAGTAGTCAAGGACAGAACCCTACGAATGCCAACAGCAAGAAACCCAGGAAAGGCTTCACAGAAGCACAGCTGCTGTTAAGTTTCAAAGTGTCAAAAATGCTTCTCCTAAAAACCATATAAATTGTATAAAAAGAATGTGCTCTGTTTGGGCTCCAAACAATTTACAGTGTATCTTTAGTGAAACCAGTAGGAAAAAAGTTAACTCTAAATGTAACATGGCCCAAAACTCATGAAATACAAGTGGTGCACGAACCAAAAAAGTGAAGTAGGGGGCCAGAGATTTAGCTCAGCAGCACTGATAGAGTAGTTTTATAAACAGCAAAAACCTATAAAGTGTCACAATCTAGATGGCTTTGGCTGTCTCCAACAGCAGTTGGTTTTGTTTAGTTCAGAACTAACAGACACTGAAAGCATTAATTACTGCATGAGACATTTGGTTTTACCTTGAGATAACAGGGCACATCACAATCTTGAGCTCCAAAGAGACTAGAGCCACATGATAAGTGTCAAGATGAAAAGGACCATTGCTAACATTTGCTCCTTGACCCTGAACACCCGCCACCTTCCTATAGGCTAGGATAAACTCCCCTAACTACAAAGAATTACTATGTTTGGGTTGAAAGTTAATGTTTTGTAACCATGATTTGTACATCAGCAATGTGAACTGTGAGAATGAAATGTAAACACCCAAATGAAGTCAAGGCTGTGAAACCCTTTAAAAGGAGTTGTAACCCAGTGGGTCATCGATCCAGGCACTGATTTTATGTGGGATCAACCTTTGTAGACAAATAAAACTTTTGTTATTTTACTTCCATTCTGTGCCTCTATGTGATTATCACTTGCCAATTTCTTCTGTAAAAGTGCCATACCTGCCTCACAAGCATAAGGTCCTGAGTTTGATCTCAGATATAAAAAAAAGTGAAGTAGGAATAGCAAGAAGTCCTTCAGGTAAAAGATCTCAGAAAAATTAGCAAATACCCATTCTCAGGATGAGGGGTCCCTCCCTCTATGCAAACTGCAATTCAGTCTAATAATGAAAAACAAAACCATGGATAGGAAAAAATTCCAAACTATCTAATCAGATTCACTTAGGAGACCTAAACAGAAAGCTGCACAGAAGCCTGAGGAAGAAGTAGAAATGCAGATGAGGGTTCTAGGAACTTTAAGAATTCTGAAATCTATAACTAATATTTTCTTACAGAATGGGAACAGGGGCATGGTGATGCACACTTCTAATGTCAGCATTTGGAAGGCCAAGCGGGGAGGACCACCATGAATTCTGGGCCAGCCTGGGCTACATAATGAATTTAATGCAAACCTACACAGGGAGATCTGGTCTCAAAAAAAAGGAAGAAAATCGGGAACTGATGAAAATCAGAGTCCAGACCTAGATTAAAGAGAAAAGGACTGTGGAGGAAGCAGGAAGTGTGGTTTGAGAAGTACTTGGCAATGAGACCCAGAGATACCAAAATAAAGTTAGAAACTTCTAAAAGTGAACATATACATTCGGGATGCTAAGTGTGGTGAAAATTAAGATCAAGTCACAAAAGAAGTCCTTTTCGGGAACCCCTACAGGCAGGGAAAGTATGAAACAAAGAATGCTACCATGTCTCTTTTTTCCTGGTGCTTATCTAGGAAAACCATTTTCATACAAATGTAATACAAATAATGTCATTCATGATACTGTACAAAAAAAGTGAAAATGGGCAATATAATTTCCCAACAGTTAAGCAAGTTCATTTGAAAAATATCACCACAAAGCAGATGAAAACAAACACCGTAACAAAGTCAACTTAAAACAAAAATTCTAAGGAATGAAAACAACACAAAAGAGAAACAAATTAAGTAATTTGGTTGCCTAAAAGGAGGGAGCAGATAGAAAACATAAGAGTAAGAATGGATGTCTTACCTGGCACCTTATTTTTATTCCAGTTGATTTGTTAGAGGGAGTTGAGACAGGGTCTCACTACCTAAATTCAGGCTGGCCTCAAATTAATAGCAATCCTCCTCCTTGGCTTCCTGGTTGCTGAGATAACAGGTGTGCACCACCACACCTGGCTTCTACTTAATTCTTTAAAGACTGCAATATCACAGCCTTTGGTCCCCCCCCAACTTGATTAACATCTCTTCTGGGTATGCATCTGGGACACAGAAATAGCCTGGTAACCCCTGTACGATTATCATTTATAATAGTTTCAAATAACGCAAAGTTAAACTGAAAATAAAGTTAATAGCTTTGTGAGAAGTATTTAAAATCTGTATGAAGGAAATCTGAGAATGAGATAACCAGAGGAATCAGAAGAAAATTTGTATGTTATTCTAGCTACTGGGGAGGCTGAGGAAGGAGGATTTTTAGTTCAAGGCCAAACATAGTGACTTACTGGACAAGATAGTAAGACACTGTCTCAAAATAAAACATAGAAAGGAATGTTTAACATCATAAAGACTTCCTTCCCCTAAATTATTTTTGTAATTTAACACAGTCTCAACAGGAAATTTTTGTTTTCTGGAACCAGATAAGCTGATCTTAAAGTTTACACAGAAAAATAAAGCCAGGTCGAGCACAGTGGCGCATACCTGTAATCCCAGCACTTGGGAGGCTGAGGCAGGAGGATCGCTGTGAGTTCTCAGCCTAGGCTACATAGTGAGTTCCAGGTCACTCTCAACTACATAGTGAGACCCTCTCAAAAAAATGAAAAACAGAAATAAAGAAAGAAAAAGAGAGAAAGTGAGAGAGAGGGAGAGGGAGAGAGGGAGAGAGAGACAGGGAGAGAGAGGGAGGGAGAAAGAAAATACTGAGAGAGAGAGAGAGAGAGAGAGAGAGAGAGAGAGAGAGAGAGAGAAAGAGAGGGCGCGGGCGAGCCAGGAGTGATAGAACACACCTGTAATCCCAGTATTCTGGGCCGCTGAAGCAGGAAGATAGCAAGTTGGAGTCCAGCCTGGTCGAGCAATTTCGGGACTGTTTAAAATAAAAATGTCTATGGATAACTCAGTATGAATGAAAGCTCTGGATTCAATCTCTAGTACAAAAAAGCAAACAAGCAAGAATAACCAAAGAAAACTCCGAAAAGTATAAGCAGTAAGATCAGCTATACCAGGTATTAAAACGTAATTATAGGGCCAGGGATTTAGCTCAGTGGTTCCACTGCCTGCCTCTCAAGCGCAAAGTCCCAAGTTCAATCCCCGGTACCAAAAAAACAAAACTAAACAAAAACCACATAATTATAAAGGTTTAAAAATAAAAAATATAAATGCCAGCTGAAAAATAGGTAAGACTATAAAGTCCAAAACCAGGCTAAATAAATGTGAGGATTTAGCAAGTAGCATCTTAATAATAAAGATAAAACCTTTAAAAAATGGTGTTGCAAGTTCCCAATGATGGAATGTAAATGTACTGTATACCTAAAATGTACCAATAAAAGAATTTAAGAGAAAAAAAATGGTGTTGGAAGAACTACACAACCAACTGGAAAAAGATAAGCCTGGGGCCAGGTATTTAGCTCAGTGGTTCTGCTGCCTAGCAAGCAAGGTCCTGAGTTCGATCCCGAGTACAAAAAAAAGATAAGCCTGGTCTGATAGGGATTATTCTTTTTTTGTTTCTTTGAAATAGGGTCTTGCTATATAGTGCAGGCTGGCTTTAAATTCACTATGTAGCCCCTGTAGAACTCCAACTCGTGACAATCTTCCCAGTCTGCTGTACCAATCTGCTGAAGGCTGGAACTATACAGGCATGTGCCAGGATAACTCTAAATGGATCAAAAATATAAATTCAAATATGAAAACCTAGGCCAAGGATTTAACACAGTAGGAGAGCACTTGCCTACTGTGGGCAAGGCCTTAGGTTCCATCCACAGCACTAATGAATGAATAAGTGGGAGGGAAAGGGAGAGAGAAAAAAAAGGAAGTAGGAAAGAAGAGAAAAAGAAAAGAAAACCTATGTAAACGATAGCCTTGTAAGAATTTGAAAACATGGGTAAAATGTAGAATGGAAAAGGTTTTCTGACTAGGATAATACATGGAAAGAATAATAACTCTAACTATATAAAAACAAAACTTCCTGATTCTGAATGGTTTAGAAAAGAAAGCAACTACTGTAAGTTGTCAAAACAATGTCAAAACACAAACGAAAATCTGGGAGATGGGGTTGGGGCTGCAGGTCATTTCACATAGAAAAAAAAAAAATTTTTTTTTTTTTGGTACCGGGGATCAAACTCAGGACTTTATACTTGCAAGGCAGGTGTTGGCACCACTGAGCTAAATCCCCTGCAAGAACTATGTTTTTATTTTATTTTTATTTTTTGGTTTTTTGAGACAGGGTCTCACTGTATAGTTGAGACTGACCTGGAACTCACTATGTAGCCCAGGCTGTTCTAGAACTCACAGTGATCCTCCTGCCTCAGCCTCCCAAGTGCTGGGATTACAAGCATGCGCCACCATGCCCAGCAAGAACTATGTTTTTAAATATGACAATTCTTAGAAGACACTCTTTGAAAAAATGGTGAAAAGGATATAAATGTTGTTTTTGGTACCAGCAATCGAACTCAGTACCTTGTGCTTATTAGGCAGGTGCAGCACCACTGAGCTAAATCCTTGAAAAAGATATATATAAACAGACAGTTCTCAGATTAACATATATGGCCCATTCATTGTAAATTAAACCTATACTCATGCAATTCTTATTTAAGCCTTTGGTTAAAAAAAAAAAATTCAACGCTACAGTCTGATGTTGATGTTAAAATTATGGGGGAAAAGGAGTTACTGCACATTGCTAGTGGGAGTGTTAAGTACTTACCCACTGGGCAATTCCACTTGGAGAAATCTACTTTAGAGGTACTCCTGCTTAAGTACAAAATGACAGATAAATTATTCAGTAATGAAGCAGGATAAAGGTAGGGAGAAAGGAGATAAGGCAAAGTATCTTTTAAAAATATTACAACTTCAAGACACAAAATTACTAAAGATTATCTATTACCTTTACTTCCTAGGCTTCCCCCAATCCCTTTTCAGGCCCATCACATCACACCTCTTAAAGATGCTACTAAATTCATAAATTAATTTAGCTGATAAGGTAAAAGGGCAGCAACCAATAGAGAATCAGATTCAAAGAATGTCTTTAGAAAAAAAAAATTTTAATCACCCATCTTAAAAAACACAACTGATTATTAGGCTAATGATTTTTCTGCTGTAAGTGAATATGGCATTTCACCTGCAAATTGAGCCCTCAATTCTATAAATAAATTATTTCCATCCCCTAAAAAGAAATATTCTCAACTTCAAACCAATAGGAGCCTCTCTTGAGGGCCAGCACTTTTATTTGAGTGTGTATTTCTTTAATAATGATGAATAAAACCTTTCTATGCCTCTTGCTGAGGCATCCTAGAATTCTTTTCTGTATGAATCAAGAAGCTACCTAACAGGACCTCTTCGGGGAAACTCTATCACGCATTTTTAATGGCAGCAAAAGACTGGAAACACCTCAACCATTCAACTGGGGACTACAGCACATCTAACACAATGGCTCCTTACATACAGTGTAGCTAAAAAACAAACAAACAAACAAACAAAAAACAGCGCTCAATAGGGACATCTTTGGGACATAAATGTTAAGTAAATGTACAGAAAGGTGAACATATTATCTTTTATGTAAAGAGGGTGGAACAGGAACAAACAATAAACATATTCCAGTGTTCAACCAAGCAACTGAATGGTAAACAAGAAACAACTCCAATAAACTACACTTACATTGGACAAAGAATGATTACGAGAAGGAGAATGAGGTATTTCTGAGACAGATTTTACATTACTTGCTTTTTAAAAAGCAATAAAATTCATTTTAAAAAAAGTAGTGCCTTGTCAGGTGTGGCATATGTCTGTAATCCCCTAACTCTGGAAGTCTGAGGCAAGAAAACTGCAAGTTTAAACCCAACCTGCACTCAATTTAGTGAGATCTTATCTAAAAATAAAAAAGCTGGGCCGGGGATTTAGCTCAGTGGTTCCGCTGCCAGCCTCGCTGCCAGCCTCATAAGCGCAAGGTCCTGAGTTCGATCCCAGTACCAAATAAATAAATAAGCAGGCAAGAAAAAAACAGCTAATGCAGTTCAATGCACAAAACTCAGATTCAATCCTAATAAGGGGGAGGGGGTGAAGCACTCCCTTAACTTGAAAACAAATTATTAACTTGGTCACATAAATTCTCAGATAAAGGATTTCAAGTGGCTTTTTAACAGAGAACTTTGATATATATCTTTAGTGACATGCACTGGAAGGACAAAAAAAGCTAAACATATATATATATATTAAAGAAAATGTTAAATCAATATAGTATGGTTATGGTTTATCAACAATATTATTTTGGGCAGGGGGTACCGGGGATTCAGAACCTTGCACTTGCAAGGCAGGTGGCAGAACCACTGAGCTAAATTCCCGGCCCAACAATATTATTTTGAAACCACTTTCTTTAATGCGGATAGTATTGACACTAACTCGTTTCAAAACTTTAATTATAAACTACAATAAGGAGCTAAGAAATTAGATAAAAATATAAAATCATTGAAACTGAATTAGAAATACTAATATGACCAAGACCTGTCATGTAAAGGTACAAGATCCCAATAATGAATGTAATTGTACTGTATACCTAAAATGTACCAATAAACTTAATAAAAAAAAAAAAGAATTACTAATATGGACTCAACTAAGCGCTTAAAATGGCTTGGGGGATGAGCATGTAGCTCGGTGTAGATGCCTTGCACAGCATGTGGGAGGTCCTTGTTTTGAACTCCAGTACTATAAAACAAGTATTTATCAAGTATTTACTAAATAGGCAATATATGCATTAACTCCATCCACACAATCACTTTTTGAATGAAGATACTTTTACCTGTACATTACTATATAAGAAACTGAGGCACAAGATTTAAGTACCTGCTTAAAGTCACTGTGATACAAAGTGGCACTTAAAGGAGTTAACACAGAAAGTATGGCTCTGTGTCCTATCTCCTTTTTTTTGTTGTTTTTTTCAGACAAGATCTCACTATGTAGTTCAGGATGGCCTCAACCGCTTGGCTATACTCCTGCCTCAGCCTGCCCAGTACTGGGACTTTAGACATGCACCACTACACACAGCCCTATCTCCTCCTTTTAAAAAATTAACTGTAAAATATGTACTACAGTCATAAAGTTAAAAAAAATGTCTTTCCCAGTACTCCTCCATTCCCAAAACACAGATATCTAGCTACTTTAAAAGGTTTCTTTGGTGAGATGAATCTCTAATTCCAGCACTCAGGAGGCTGAGGCAGGAAATCAAGAGTTCAAGGCCAATCTGGACTACATATTGAGACCATGTAAAAAGAAAAAAAGATTTTTATGTATTTCCTAAGTTAATGAAAACAAAACAAAGATACTATAACGCCTTTTCTTTTTCTTCCCTTTTTTCTTTTTTTGGCACCAGGGATCGAACTTGGGACCTTGTGCTTTTGAGGCAGGCATGGTGCCACTGAACTAAATCCCTGGCCCCCCATCCTCTTTTATTTTGAGACAATTTCTTGCTAAATTTCCAGGCTGAGTTCAAATCCTCTTGCCTCAGTCTTCCAGACAGGTGTGTGCTACCACACTCACCAATAACCCTTTTTCTTACTATAAATAAAGTATAGTCTACATTCTGTACTTTCTTACACTTGTCTGCACCACAAACCCCCAGGTTCCAATATTTTTCTATGCCAAATATTGCTACCATAAGCAATCTTTTTTTTTTTTTTTTAAAGTACTGGGGTTCCAACTCAGGACCTTGGGGCTTGTGAGGGCAGGTGTGGCGCCACTGGGCTAAATCCCCCGCACTACCATAAGCAATCTTGTACTTACACTGTTTCATATAAATGTAGATATATTTGTAGCGTTAAGTTTTTAGTTAAAGCAACTGTAACTATCACAGAAACTATATTATCAAGTTTCCCTCCTTAGGCTTTGCTCATGCCAAGACCAATACTATTTTTATTTCTGAGGCTCTGTATTTATTTACTTACTTTGTTTTTTTGAGATAGGGTCTCTCTGTAGCTCAGGCTCTCCTAGAACTTGGGGCAATCCTCTTGCATCAGTGCCCCCAGTACAGTGATTACATCACAAAGTAACCACCAACTGCTTTTTCATAAGTACACTGGCTATTGCTGCTAGTCTTTTTTTCCATGTTAATAAAATCAGCTTATCTAGTCCCCCCAAAATCTAGTCGATTCTTTTATTAGCATCACAATAAATTCATTCTTTGGTACAATCCATATACCATGGATTCAGATTTTACATTTTCACCACTTAATATTTTAAAGATTTTTCTCGAATAATTTTGCACATTTCTTAAATTTTTTATTGCGATTGTAAATAGTATTTCTCCAATTTCATCTTCTAACTGCCCGTTCGTAAATTTGAGGCTATTGATTTGTAGATCTTAATTTGGTACACCACTACTTAACTCTTTATTATGCAAAGCTTTGTGAAACAGGCCTGCAGGTGATGTCTTTAGAAAAACCATCCATGCAAATAGAAGTAGTTCTCTCCATTATTTATATATTAAGAACACTTGGACTAAGGATTTTGAATATTTAGTCCTAACTCAGATAAACGCTGTCAACAACCAAATTTTCTTTAAAAAAATTTTTCTTTTAAAACTATTTCTAACCTAGAGCCCTTGACTCTGATGCTGGGCTTTCCGCTTAGTGATTTGCTTCTCAAAGAGAAACATTATTTACGACAGGAATTTTCCTAGCAGCCCTTTTTTAAGTAATTTAAAAGATCAGAGGGTTTAAGACAGGAAGTGGGCAACCCATAACAAAAAAATCTTTGAAATATCTTTTTAAAAAATAAAACATAATTAAATCAGGGTGATTTGCATTCTAACCCAATCAAAACCAAAGAAGTTTTTAACATAAAAATATTTAAAATTTTTATTCAATACTTAGCTTTTCTCCCCTTCCGATCTTCCAAGTAAATTACTCTAGAAGATGGCACCGTTATAATTAACAGCACTTTCGACAAGGAAAATGCGGCTCGTGTGTTACACGGTACCTCAATATTGGTCTCCACATCTCCTCCTCAGGCGCAACCACACATAATCTTACACCGTTTCACATTCGCTCAATAATTCCAAAGAATGGGTCAAACTTTGCGGTCAAAGTCAGGGTCACTCTCGCTCAACCCTCCTCCGAGGCCCCCACCTCCGCCCCATACGTAGGCCAAACGCTCTTAAACCCACTCCCCACCCGCGCGCCGCTCCCCTACAGATCAAGAATCCTCCCCTTCAACCTCCCCGACCCGACCGACCCAAAACACCCAGATCCCACCTCCTACTTTCGCGCCACGTGGACCTAGAGGCCGTACAGGCCCGCGGACAAAGACCAAAATGTCCACTCCGTGCGCTGCGCCTGCGCACTATGAAGGTGAGCGATCACTCCCAGAAGTCTCCGCGATGCGGCCTGGGGCGTTCCCCGTGACCAGCCAGGCCTAGGCCGGGACCTGATTACCCGCTACAGGATTACCAGCAACGCCGCTTTTCTAGCGTTGGACTACATTTCCCTTAAGGCACTGCGTACAGTTCTAGCTCCCCCTCCCACGCAAATTTGGCAGCCTCCTCAGGTGAATTTGGGGGTCTTACTATGAGTGGTCCTTCCTTCCTTGGACTCAGGTGAGCTCGAGCCCACTAGAGAATGTTTGGAGTGGGGACTCCCTTTTTGAGGCCTCCCAGGCGCGGTATCAAAACAGGCCAATCCCAGACTCAGAGGTAAGAACGCGCCATCTTGTCCGTGGCTGTTGTGGCTCTGGACTACGTTTCCCAGACTTCACAGCGGCCCAATGTTACAGATCTCCTGAAGTCGTGGCAGATCGGTTGCTCTACAAGGACCCTGACGCGACCAGTGGAGGCCGAAGGTGAGGGGTCTGGGAATCCGGGGCGGAGACGGGGCGTGTCCCGAGCCTCAAATCCCTGCGAGCTGGCGTGAGCGGCCAAGGATGCGTGATTCTAAAAGTGTCTTTGATTGTGGCTCCTTGACTACGTTTGAATGCCTGTGAGTGTGCGGTTGTAATCACTTATCTCCAAGGTGTGTGTCAGGTTGTTTTATGTAAACCGTGTTTGATGCTTGTGGAGGTGATACTGTGTGTGCCTCTGTTGTATATATGTGCCTGTCCTTCTTGTTCCTGGAAATATGAGTATAGTTGTGACTTTGTGACCGGTGTGGGTGCCTGTATGAATTACGTGACACTGTGGCCGTGTGTGGTACTGCGTGCAGTTGTCATGTGCATGTGACTGACGCAACACTGCATGTGTATCCCTGTTGTGTCCCTTGGAGAGGAGGGAGATTGTGACTATGTGACAGTGTGTACTGTTGTGTATACAGGCGTTGAGTATCTTTACTACTGTGACTGTGTTTGTGCCCCCTGAATGGGTGTGTGATTGTGACTGTGTAGGGCATTTTGGGGTGTTGATGTGAAGAGCCCGTGACTCTAGGGGAGTAGCTGTGTGATAAGGTGGTGAGTGGATTGTGTGACTGTGTGTTTTCTTAGTGTGTGGTTGTGACTGTTTGTAACGGTATGGCGGTGTCCGTGACTGTGTGGTCCCTGGAGAGGATATGCACTTAAGTTTGTGTGACAGACACATTGTACAGCACATGTCCCATTGTGAGGTGCCTGTGACTCCCGTGCTCTGACCCCTGCAAAATCTGTGAGGTTCTGAAGTTCAATGTAAATTTGCCCTTGAATAGTAATGACCTCAGTTTTTTAGGGTGACTTTGGGATCAAGCAGGTTTTTTGTTGTGTGGTTAAATATACATAACATAAAATTTATCATTTTAATCTTTTTTTAAAAAACAAGGTGTCACTGTGTTCAGGCTGGTCTTGAACTCACCATGTGATCCAGGCTTCTGCCTCATTTTCCCAAGTGCTAGGACTATAGGCATGTACCACCATGCCCAGCCATTTTGACCATGTTTAAGTGTATGGTGGAATTAAGTACATTCACAGTGCTTTGCTATCATTTCCAGAACTTTTAAAAGCTTTTAAATTCTTAAGAAACCATTGAACTGTTTTTCACATCAACTACTCCCTCTTATATTCCCGGGTTTTATTTCTCCACATCCATGTCAATGCTTGTTATTTTTATTTTTTTAGCAATAGCCACCTAATGCATGTCAAATGGCATTGCTCTAATAACTAGCAATACTGAACACTTATGTTTTTATTTATATACAGAGAGTCAAGCAGAACAATGAAAATGCTTTTACTATAGTAGAACGTTCAAAATTACTTTGCAAAAACAAAAAAACTCATCCAAAAAATTTTGCATTTAAGTGATTAAATGGAGAAGACACCCACGGTGTATCTAATAAAATGCTTTCTGCTTTGCAAACACTGTCTTATTTCATCTGGAAATTGTATATACTTGCAAATTAGTCATTCAAATAATGATTTTGATATTGATTCTCATCAAAATGTAGCAGAGAAGATAAATCAGTTGAAGCACTGGTAAAGAACCTTCGGTATTGTTTCAATCACACTAACTTCCTTTTTCATTCTCATCTATAACATAGACATTATCTCACTCACTCATTTTTTGGTACCAGGGATTGAACTCAGGCCCTTGCGCTTGTGAGGCAGACACCAGAACCACTGAGTTAAATCCCCAGCCACACTCATTTTTTTTTCCACTGCCAATAAAATAAATACCAGAGGGTGAAGGGAGAGCCGGGGAATGGGGAAAAAATAAGAACCAAGATACATCATGTAAAGGTACAAGATCCCAATGATGATGCAACTATACTGTATACCTAAAAAGCACCAATAAACTTAGTGAGAAAAAAAGTGGAATTTCAAGGTTTGACTAATGGGACAAAATTACTCTTAGGTGTTTGGAAAATACTTGAGAAAATAGGGTGGTGCAGAAACATCAGAAACTCCTCTGGCAAGAAGAGATTAAAGGAAGAAAATACAACTGGTTTTATAATACCCTGAGCTATTTCATGTTCAAAGGAGGATTTAAGAAAAAAATAGGTATTTTCTTTTTTTCAATCTAGGAATGGCTTATATTTAACAGAATTCAGAAATATATAAAAATCAATGCATAGTTATTGAAAAATAAGAAAATTTAAGATCATAATCCTGAGGAAACCAAAGTAATCTTTTTTTTTTTTTGGTACCAGGAATTGAACTTGGGTCCTTGTGTTTGCGAGGCAGGCCACCAAACCACTGAGCTAAATCCCTGGCCTTCAAAGTAATCTTTGAGAGCAAAATTTCCTGTTTTCCATCTGATTTTGTCTATATTGCTTATATTCTGTATTTATGTATTTTAAGTATTCTTATATTTATGTATATTTATATATTTAGAAATAAGACTATGTGATGACCAGCTGTTTCGTAACCTATTCTGTTTTCTGTTTTTACCATATCTTGAGCACTTTGTGTACTATTAAATTACTCTTAAATGTATAAGTACTGAAAATTACTGTGATATAGAAATATATAATTTATTTAACCAGTCTGTTCTTGTCTAACTCAAAATACTGAATATTTCTTGAGAATATACATATGTTTCAATATATTCATTTCGGACTGACATTTACCCTGGAAAATTTTGTTTACATCCAGAAAATTTGGTACATTTTGTTTAAATGGCAGAGAGGATATAGGAAAGGTTTCAATTAACATCCTAAATGCAACTGCTAAAATATCACAATGATGTAAATATTTTGATAAATGCATAAATTTGAGTATCAACAAAAGGGATCTGCAGCTATTGATGGCTCTTACAGAGACCATGTTATTATGTACAAAGAAACTAGTTGTTAATAATCATAGTAATTGTTCAGTGATAAGAAAGTGTTGTTTTCAGAAATTTTCATTCTGTGTTGCCCAGGCTGTGCTCAAACTTGTGATCCTCCTATCTGGCCTCCAAGAGTGGAGGTATTACAGCTGTGCACCACTATACCTAGCTTATATGTAGGTGTTTTCTTGTGTTTGTGTTATAAATCATTTGGAAGCTTTCTATTGAAATACGATGTGTTGTTGTTGTTTGGTACCAGGGATCAAACTCGAGACCTTGTGCTTGTGAGACAGGCGGCAGAACCACTTAGCTAAATCCCCAGCCCTTATTTTTTACATTTTAAATATTAGAAAAGGCTCTTGGTTAGAGATTTTACTCAGAATGATTGCCTTTTCAAAAATAAATTACTAATGTTAAGATGGAGCTAGCTATAGCTCTATCTGTCCAGCTTGCATAACTTGGCCAACTTTTTTCTCATCGCCTCAGTCCCCATAGTGGGGATGAATGGGCTCTAAAGAATGTAAATTTAAGGGCTGGGGGATGTAGCTTAGTGGCGCCTCACCTGTCTGGCAAGCACAAGGTCCTGAGTTCAATTCTTGGTACCAGGGGCGGGGTAGAATGTGAATTCAGAGACAGAAAAAATGTAGGGATATATCTTCAAGCTTTACTAGGTGGTATATAGACAGCTAAACTTTTTTTTTCATTGAATTTATTGGTACATTTTAGGTATACAGTACAGATACATTCATTATTGGGATCTTGTACCTTTACATGACAGGTCTTGGTTCTCATTTTTTCCCCTTGTCCCTGCCCTCCCTTCACCCCCTCCTCCCCTCTCCATTTACAAACACTTTATTTCCATTTTTTCATTTTCTCTAGCTAAACTTTGATTACAAGGATTTGCACAAAGTTCTGTTGTTAGAGATCTAAAAGAACATGCTTTTGTTGGGTCAATATCACCTTCTATAATTCATAATCTGCCTTTCCTTTCACATTGTGGGTTTGAGAAAAATTCCTTCGAAACATGTAGAGTTGGAAATAGAAAACTCATCTGCTATTGCTGAATCTTCCTCTGACTTTGTTATTTTGACCAATGGCCTCAGCCTGACTTTTTTTTTTTTTTTTTTTAATGTTGTGTGCAGAATACAGTGATAATGAGACCTGCTGGTCCTTGTCTTCAGAGTTATTTCACTCATGTGTCTTTATTTTCCAACCCCGTAAGTCAGCCTAGCATTGTCTGCCTCTAGATTCTATGGCTAATTACATTAAGATTAATTAAAATTATATAAAAAGTTTAGTTCCTTAGCATACTAGCCACAGTAACTCACATGGAGCTAGTGGCTACAATATTTATAGCTCAGTGATAAAGATTTCCACTTGTGCATAAAGTTCTTTTGGACAGCACTGGTCTAAGCTTTTTATCCAACTATACAAGGCCTTCTGAATTATCCTCTGTTCTCCAAATGCAACATATACTTTTGGTGTATTGTTTTTCCCACTGCATCTTACTCTGTTTGTGTTCTTTGTTCATTTTCCTGTCTATTAAATTTCTCTGCTTTTTTGTTTGTTTGTTTTTTGAATCAGGGTCTCACTATGTAGTTGAGGCTGACCTGGAACTCATTATGTAGCCCAGGCTGGTCTTGAACTCACAGCAATCCTCCTGCCTCAGCCTCCCCAGTGCTGGAATTACAGGTGTGTGCCACCATGCCCGGCAGTTCGCTGATTTTTTTAGAACCCATCTTACAAGAAATTTTCCTTGACACTACCCTAGTGATTAAATTAGACTTACTTTTGAACAGCCCTGACCATGGAAAGTGTCTTCCACCACTAATTAACATCAGCTTTAGTATCTTCTTTAAAAAACACTAGATTTTCTTTGGTTCTGTTTTTGTTTTCTTTTTTTTTAAGATAGGTTTTTGCCATTTGGTTCAAGCTGGTCTTGAATTCACTGTGTAGCCCAGGCTGGCCTCAAACTTGTATCAATTCTCCTGCCTCAGACTCCCCAGTGCGGGGATTACAGGTTTGCACCATAAACACTGGATTTTTATTACTTTGAGAAATAGGCCATTCACAGGACTCCAGACACAGCACAGCCAATCCTCATAGTGAAGAAGTAATGTTCCACAGGGAAGTAGTAGGAAGAGCTTAGATAGGAAATAAGGAGTTCTGAGCCAAGAAGCACCTAGAAATTAATTTCTCAACGAGGTCTGAATGTACTGGTATTCATATAAGATACCTGTATTATTGTGGTTTTCTTGTTCCTGTCTGGAGATTTCATGTGGGGCTGAAGGCTTTAATAGAGCTTATGCAATAGGTGGTGTTGCCCAATTTGGGGCTTGGAAGGAGGAAGTAAAACATTTGAGGTACCCAAGAGGTTTTGCCTGAAGTTAGAAACTGTATTTACATTTGGCCTACACATGTGTTCTTTGGTTCTAGCCTAGTGATGCTGACCTTATTCTTAAGGGATAAAGTGCATTATAATCCTCCTTGCTGCTGGACATAGTGGCACACATCTATAATCCCAGGACTCAGGAGGCTGAGGCAGGAGGATTACCACGAGTCTGAAGTCAGCCTAGGCTCCGTAGTGAGTTCAACACCTGCCTGAATTACATAGTGAGACCCTTTCTCCAAAAACTAAAAAAAAAGCAAAAATCTTCCTTGTAGTTTTTCCACTTGGAGCAGGTGGGAGCACCTAAGTCCCATCCATAGTTTAGCATCAACGAGGGACTAGCCAGGGGTGGTGACATATGCCTGTAATCCCAGTTTTCTCAGGAGGCCGAGGCAGGAGGATCAGAAGTTTGAGCCCAGCCAGGACCACTTAGACCCTCTTTCAAACTATAAATAGGTAGATAAGTGGGTAGGTGGATGAGTGGATGGATGGATGGATGGATGGATGGATGGATACATAGATAGACAGGGCTGACAGCATTAGCTCAGTGGTAAAGCAGTTGCCTAGTGTGGGTTTAATCCTCAATGTCATAAAATAAAAAAGTTGGACTACCTCAGGCGTTATCCCACCCTCTGATATGCTTGGATTCTGTGTCAATGCCGGGGTGCATCTACCTGGAAATCATCTTGCTGCTTTCCGGTTCCCTGGTGTGTAGTATGGGGCTGGGTTTTGTTAGCAGTAGTCTTTAATATTCTTATGGGGTAGGACAATAGGAGGGCAAGCAAAGCAGGTGCAGTACAAGCACAGTTATTTCACACCTGTCTGAATGTGCCAGCCTGCACACATGATGCCTGTGTTACTGTGGTTTTTTTGCTTCTATCTGTGGCCTCCATGTGGGACTGGAGGCTTTAGTAGAGAGCTTGGGAGTGCTGAGGCGAGTTCCTTTTATCAGAAATTTACTCTTCTTCTATTTTGCTTTTTCAGATCCTTACACTTGTCCAAGAGAAGAATTCAGAAAAAGCAGAGGTCAAATAATTCCAAAAGCCATGGCCAATGTGAGTTGAAATTTCTGCTATCCTTGGAAATTCGATCTTCCTTTTAGATCAAATGAACATTTGTGTTCTTTATCCTGAAACATCTGTAACCCGCTTGAAGTTCCACCATTCCAGGAAACAAGTGATCGTGACCTACTTTCTTCAGTGGCCTTCTTTTCCCCAGTGTCATTTGCATACACATGTAAAACTTTTACCAGAGCACCAGTGGAATAGAAATATGCTCTCTTGAGAAAAGGGGAAAAGCCTCCTGTATCAGACATCCATAATTTAATGGGTCTAAAGATGAGATGGTTTTTGTTTTTTGAGACGGTTCTCGCTATGTAGTTCAAGCTGGCTTTGACCACACCATGTAGCCCAGACTGGTCTCAAACTTGCAGTGATCATTCTGCCTCAGCCTTCTGAGTGGTGGGATCATATGTATGCACCACCAAGCCCAGCCTAAAGATGAGATATTTTGATCTCCTTCATTGACTTTTTTATTTGTTTTTTTTTTTGAGACAGAATCTTGCTATGTAATTCAGCCTGGTTTCAAACTTACAGTGATCCTCCTGCCTTAGCCTCCCAAGTGCTGAGATTACGGGTGTGCCACCATGCCTGGCAACCTTCTATTTTAAATGTCACTCTATCTTTAAAAAAATCGTAAAACATTTCATACAATCAAATAATACATACAAAAGCATAAAGAATAATAAAATGAGTACTGAAATAGTTACCACCCCGATTAATATGCTACCTAAGCAGCTTCCATTCCCTTCTCTGATCCTATTACCATCCCCACCAATAATAGCTACTACTTTTAATTTTGAGTTTATCAATCTTGTGGTTTCTGTAATAGTTCTAGAATATATAACTGCAAACTAATCAATATATTATCATTATTTGCTTTTAAATTTGATCTAACAATATAATATGTATGTTTTTATGTGATTAATTTTTTTTCACCTAATGCAGTATGTTTTCAAATGATTCTGTATAACTAGGTCAGCAGTACTCAAGTCATGACCTTGAGACCCTTTCCAGAGATCTGCAGGATCAAAATAATTTAATAATAATACTAACACCATATTTACCTTTTTCATTCACATTCTCTAATGAATGTATAGAGCAGTTTTGCAGATGCCATGTGATCTATGTTATGCCAACGATTGAATGCAGGAGCAAATATGAAAATACAGCTGTCTTTAGCCGGGCGTGGTGGTGCACACCTGTAATTCCAGCACTCAGGAGGCTGAGGCAGGAGGATCACTGTGAGTTCGAGACCAGCCTGAGGTACATAGTGAGTTCCAGGTCAGTCTCAACTACATAGTGAGACCCTGTCTCAAAAAACAAAAACAAAAAAACAAACAAAAAATGGGACAACCAACAGCCAGGCATGTTAGCACACACCTGTCATCTCAGCTACGTGGGAAGGAAGCTGAGGTGGGAAGGTCACAAGTTTGAGGCCAGCCCAGGAAGTTTAGCAAGAATCCCATCTGAAAAAGAAAACGGTGCAACTAGTCCTTATGGATGCTGTAGGACATAACATACATACACCATGTCTGACATATTCTGCCTGCCCCCCAAAAATGGAAATCGGGGCTCTATGTCTAACTATTATTTCACAGAAACTATGCAAGGCAACATATTATGTTGTGAGGATACACTCAGCCAAATCCGGAATGTGGGAAATTCTATATAATCAAATATTCCTTTAATAAATAAATGGAGATTTTTTTAAATTTTAAGGGTTGTTAGAGATTTGAAAGATTTTGGGAGACCCATCAACAAAGTACCATGTATGAATCTTGTTTTTTTCTTTCTTTTTTGGTGCTGCGGATCAAACTCAGGCCCTTGCACTTGCGAGGCAGTCACCAGAACCACTGAGCTAAATCCCTGGCCCTAATCTTGTTTGACTCCTTATTTGAACAGGACAGCCATTAAAAAACAAATCTCTGCGATTGCGGCAAAATGGATGGAACTGCCCGGCACGGTGACACATGCCTGTGATCCCAGCACTCAGGCTGAGGCAGGAGGATTCCTGTGAGTTTGAGACCAGCCTTGGCTATATAGTGAGTGAGTTCAAGGCCAGCCTGAGCTGCATAGTGAGACCCTGTCTCAAAAAAAAATTTTTTTTTAAAAGGATGGAACTGGGGATCATTATGTTAAGTCAGGCCCAGAAGGACAAATGCCACATGTTCTCACTCATGTAAAGGTTAAAACAGTTAATTTCAGGGCCGGGATTTAGCTCAGTGGTTCTACCACCTGCCTTGCAAGCGCAAGGACCCAAGTTTGATCCCGGGTACCAAAAAAACAAAAAGAGGAGTAGATAAGGAGAACCAAAATGCAGTTAGATAGGAGGAACAAATTCAAGTATTCTGTAGTACCATGGAGTAACTATAGTTTACAAAAAGGTATATTCTGTAAAAAACTAGACTAGAGGAATTTAAAGGCCCTAACACAAAGAAATGATAAATGTTTAAATGTTTAAAGAACTCACTTTTTTTTCTTTTTTTTTTATTGGTACCAGGGATTAAACTCAGGTCCTTATGCTTATGAGGCAGGTGCCAGAACCACTGAACTGAATCCCTGGCCCTAAAGATCTCAAATGTTCATCATACTACTTTGATCATTGTAGGCATGTATCTAATTAACACACTGTACCCTATAAATATGGGCAATTAAAAAAATAAATCACTTTTTTGTTTGTTTGAGGCAGGGTCTTGCTATATAGTTCAAACTGACCTTGAACTCTCTATATTGCCCAGGCAGGCCTTGAACTCACAGCGATCCTCCTACCTCAGCCTCCCAAATACTGGGATTATAGGCGTGCGCCACCACACCTGGCTACAAATAAGTCCCTTTTGAAAAAAATTGGAATAATTTGAACTTAATCTGACCTATTAGGAAATTATTGTTAATTTTATTAAGTATGACAATGATATTCAGGTTGTTATACTTTTTAAACTTTAACTTATTCATTCTTTGGTGCTGAGGATCAAACTCAATGCCTTACACATGCTAAGCATGCTCTGTGGTGCCACTGGAAAAAAAATTTGTACCTATTTGATACTAAAGTATTTGTGGGTAAAGTATTAGTGATATTTGCTTTGTGACGTTTGCCTTAAAACACACTAATGATAGCCAGGGATTTAGCTCAGTGGTACCATGCCTGCCTCACAAGCACAAAGTCCTCAGTACTGGAGGAAAAAAAAAACTAGCAATAAAAGATGGAAAGAAATTTAAAAAAACAAAATATGCAAAATCTTAATTGTTGATGGAGAGTAATGGGTTCATAGGGTTCATAATTATTCTCTATGCTCTTGTGTATTTTGAAATATTTCATAGTAAGAAGTGAAAAAGCCAGGGGGGATGGTACGTGCCTGTAGTCTTAGCTACTCAGGAGGCTGAGGCAGGAGGATCACAAGTTAGAGCCCTGCCTAGGCAATTTAGCATGGGCCTGTGTCAAGTGGGAGCAGACGGGGATGGGGGATTTAGATCAGTAAAGCATTTGCCTATTTTCCTACCACTTGGGATTTCATAAAAAAGGAGAGAGAAAGAGAAGTTTAAAAATGAAGTCTTTGGGGCCGGGGATTTAGCTCAGCCGTTCAGTGGCCTGCCTTACAAGCACAAGGACCTGAGTTCAATCCCCGGTACCAAAAAACAAAACAAAACAAAAATGAAGTCTTTACTTTATTATTAATGTGTGGGTTTATTGTTTCAGGGATTGGTGACATTCAGGGATGTGGCCATAGAGTTCTCTCAGGAAGAATGGAACTGTCTGGAACCTTCCCAGAGGGACTTATACAGAGATGTGACTTTGGAGAACTTCAGTCACTTGGTCGCACTAGGTAAGGCTAATGCTCACTCGGGGACAGATGGGAAATGAGGCACCAGGGACTAGAACGGTGGGAATCAGCTGTCTCCACCTTTAGCCTGAAGGAGTGAAAAGAGGAAGCGGTGCCACCAGAGGAGATGCTGAGGACTGGAGTCCAACCAGCTTTCAGAACTCCGGGGTCTAAGGAGGGAGGCACAGAGTAAGACATGCCCTGCACTCCCCGCCTCCTCCTGTTCACAGGCGGACACTGTTCTTCTGCCAAGCCGACAGCAAGCCTCAGGGCAGGGTGCCACAGTCCATACAGGGTGGCTGTCTGGGGCAGAAAACCCAGCACGGAGCAGAGCCGTCCAAGGAATGGCTTGGAAGGGAAGGAGAGGGTTGATGCAGTATAACCACCATAGTTATCTGTTCGTGTAATTTAGAACTAGCCTTCTGGGATGTCTAGGCAACTTACAAGTTTCTGAATGAACTTTGGTCCTCCATACCAAGATTATTGTTCGTCCTTTGTAGAGTTGGGAATGAGTAGTTCCACTGGTCACCTGCATCCTCCTTCCCATCTTTGGCCAGCCTTCACTCCTTCCTCCTTATAAGTGGCCCGATTCCTTGGTGACCAAGGGACTGGGTTTGAATTTTGGAACAGTATGATCATGTCCCATTTCCTTTCCTTTAAACAGGACTTTCCATGTCAAAGCCTGAAGTCATCTCCTTATTGGAGCAAGGAAAAGAGCCATGGGTGGTTACAGAGGACTTGACGGAACCATGGTATCAAGGCGAGTAAGGGCTGATCCTGTGGGGGAGGTCTTGGGATAACAGCGCAGTGAGTCAGTCACCTGATGGCTGTAGCTTGAGTTTTTGTCAGGCAGCTCCCCTCACAGCCTTGCTGTGGAAAGAAGGCTGAAGCTGTCAGCAGCACAGCATCAGCTCCCAAGAGAACCTTTCCCTCTCTGTTTAGTTCCTCTCTGTTCTTTCTCACAGTTGCTTCCCATTTCAGAAAGGGATGTACCCTTTTCTTCCCCAGTGGCTGTCCTTTTGCATGGACTCTGAATCCTTTTTTTTCTCCAAGTATCTTAGAAAAAATTTGTTATCTTAAAAATGCTGGGCACGGTGGCATACTCGTGTAATCTTTGCACTCAGAGAGGCTGAGGCAGGAGAATCACATGTTGAGCTCAGCCTGGCAATTTAGGGGCTTAATAAGACCCTGTCTCCAAATAAAAAAGATGCCCGGGCTGTAGTTCAGTGTGAAGGCCCTGGGTTCAGTCTCCAGTACAGCAAGCAAGCGAGGGGAAAAGACAGAAAGAGGAAAAGGGAAGGAAGAGAAAAAGAATAAAAAAGAGAAAGGGAAAAGAAAGGAAGGGAAGGAAGAGACAGAGGGAGAAGAAAAGAACGGGGAAAGGAAGGGAAGAAAAAGGAAGAAAGGAAAGGGCAGAGAAGACAAAGAGTGAAATAAAGGAAATAAATTTAATTTAGCAGTTCATTTATTCCTGTAGTCTCAACTCACTTTTTATAGTCCCAACCCTTGAGAGGTATGGTTGTATAGGGTTGAGAGCGTAGACTCTGGAGTTCCACTACCTATATTCAAGTCCTGACTCTGCTATTTAGTAGTTCTGCTAGTTTAAAGTACGTACATTGTAGCCAGGATTCTGTTAGTTTCCTTTCTGAATCAGTGTGAGATTCCTAGATTTGGAAAAAGGGAATTCAGTTCATTCTCATTCGTTGTTAAAATTATTATGTTCATTCTTACTTTGATCATTTTGTTTTATATTTTTCTATTACTCATTCTTTTCATTTACAGCTATTTGTTTTCCTTATGTTTTATTAACATTTCTCCATCAAGTGGTTTTGAATTTGTATTTTCTTTCTCTCTCTGTCTTTGTGCATGTGTCTGTCTGTCTGTCTATTTGTACTGAAGATTGAACCCAGGGCCTTTGCACTAAGCTACATCTCAGCCCTTTTAAAATTTTTGCTAGAGGTTTAGCTCAGAGGTTCTGCTGCCTGCCTCACAAGTGCAAGGGCCTGAGTTCAATCCCCGTTACAAAAACAAAAAACAAAAAAAAAACTTTAAAAATTTTTTATCTTGAGGTAGGGGCTTGCTGAATTGCTGAAGTTGCCCAAGCTGAGTTTGAACTTGAGATCTTGCCACAGCATCCCAGAGTGCTGGAACTATGGCACTATACAGCCTATTACTGTGATGTTTGCTTAAATTTTTTGTGTCCCTATTCCTTTGCCATTCATTAATTGAAAGTCTTTAAGAAGAGCCATCCCTACCCCCCATTCACTTATTTATTTATTCATTCATTTGTGGGCTTAGGGCTATTTATTTTAGTCTATGGATTGCAGTCAGTACTTTAATTATATCATTGCTCAAATTCTTCAAACATTAACCAAGGAGAACTCCTTCAGGTTGGCTCCTGGGTTCACTCAACATGCCTTTTTTTTTCCTACTACAGATTGAAATCAGGGTCTTGCACATGCTAGGCAAGCATTCTCTGACAGCTACATCTCCAGCCCTGCCCTCATCCTTTTATAACTACTTCCACATTTTATTTATTTATTTATCTATTTATTTATTTATTTCTTTATTGGTACCGGGGAACAGGAACTCAGGACCTTACACTTGTGAGGCAGGTGGCAGAACCACTGAACTAAATTCCCGGCCCTACTTCCATATTTTATGATACCACACCATATTCCAGTCCCCTTCCCCCTTTTTTTTTTTTTTTGCAATACTGGGGATGGAATATAGAATCTCATGCATCCTAGGCAAGTGCTCTACCCCTGGCATCTCCCCTATCTTTTTTTGAGACAGTCTAAGTAAATTTCCCAGAGCACCCTTGAACTTGGGATCATTCTGCCTCAGCCTCTCAAGTAGCTATAAATAACAAGCCTATAGCAGTGCACATAGTTCTTATTCCAGTCTCTTACCATGTATTTTTCCTGCCTCAGCCCTGATATTAACTATTCCTCAGAGGAGACCTGCTTCCTTTTATTGAAGAATGATATGAAGTAGTATCTTTAAATTTCATTTTCTGCTCAGCATGGATGGCACATGCCTGTAATCCCAGCACTCGGGAGCTGAGGCAGGAGGATTGTGGTGAGTTCAAGACCAGCCTGGACTACATAGTGAGACCCTGTCTCAAACAAACAAACTAGCAACAGATGGATAAAGAAAATGCTGTATATACCAAATACACAATAGTGTATTTCTGTTCAGCCTTTAAAAAGAAGGAAGCCCTTGTCTTTTGTGATAACATGTATTGGAAATAAGCCCCCAAACTCAATTTGGTGGTGTAGGTAATGAAGCACCCAGACACCAAGAAATCTCACTCAACAAGGTTTTTCGCTTTTGCAGAAGGGCACAAACACACCCCCGCAACGAGGTAGCAGGTGCACAGGACAAAGGAGGGTTGCCCCTTTGATCCCTAACACAGGAGAAGCAGCTGACCTTTTCCTCCATGGCTGGGTTGAAGGTTATGGTCTATCCTGATTAGCTAGTTTAAGCAGCACAGTGTGTTGCTGGGCAGGATTGTTAAGGCAGGGGAGAGTCGGGGTCAGGGGCAGTGAAAGTCCTTGGCTGTTGGTAAATTATCTTTAGCTCTTAGCTGTGTTTCCAGAGTTTCAACTGAGCAGGCGTCTCTCATAATTTGGTATGTTTAGGAGGGGCCGCCTAGAGTGGACTACAGTCCAAAATGGAGGCACTCTTGTTTGATAGAAAAGGCAGAGTTTAGGGCCCAGGGATTTAGGTCAGTGCTGCCACACCTGCCTGGCAAGTGCAAGGTCCTGAGTTCAATCTCCAGTACCAAAATAAACAAATAAATAAAAAGCAGAGCTATTGTTTCTCACACATGTGTGAATCTGGAAGACATTATGTTAAGCGAAATAAGCCAGACACAGAAAGAAAAATACCATATGATCTCAATTATATGTGAAATCTAAAAAGGTCAAACTCATCTAAAGAAAGAGGAGAATGGTAAGTACCGGGATTTAGATAGGGAGAGGAGGTGGATCTGGGAGATGCTGTGCTTAGGTGCAAAGTTGTATTTAGTAAGTTCAAGTGCTCTTTGTACAGAACAGTGACTATAGCTGATAACAGTATATTGCGTCATGAGTTGTTTTGTCTTTGGGGATTTTTATTTTTGTTCTGGTGCTGGGATTGAAGTCAGGGCTTCACCCAAGATAACTAAGCACACACTGTACCACTCAGCTACACTCCCATCCCTGCATTATTTGTTCAGTACGAAAACCGGAGGGAAAAAAAACCTACCTGGATTTATTCTGGTAGATGATATAATATATGGATCTGATTTTTCTTTATTTTGGTACCGGGGATCAAACTCGGGTCCTTACACTTGCAAGGCAGGCAGCGGAACCACTGAGCTAAATCCCCGGCCCTATGATTTTTCTTTTCTCAAATAACTGATTAGTTGCCCTGATATTATTTACTACAAAAACTGTTTATCCCTTTGAGATACTGCCTTTATAGTTTATTCAAAAAAATTTTTTTGGACCGGGGATCAAATTCAGGACCTTGCACTTGTGAGATAGGTATGGCACAACTGAGCTAAATCCAGACTTCAATTTTAATAAACTTTCATCTATTTCTGTCCTTTGTATTGTGTTCTACTGGCCTGTCTATCTGGAATCCAACATTTACTCATTCCCAAATCCATTACCAAAAATATGCTCTATTCTAAGAGTTGATTACAGTCACTATTGAGAAAGATGTTGTTTCTGCCTTTGAGGAAATTCAGAAGCAAGAAAACTAATAAATCAACAAATGCATACATGAAAATATAATTATAGCTGATAAAAGTGTTACAGAGACAGGGCACAGCAGTGCAAAAGAGAATAAATATATATAATTAGGGTTAGCAAGCTGAAAACTTTTTTGAAAGTGAGTTTTCACCTGAGACCTGAAGGATAAGAAAAGAGTGCAGCGAGATGCTTCAAGGAAGCCTATGGTTTGGTACCAAGGTGAGGGGAGAGTGCTCAACATGAAGATGCATTCTGTGGTTTAGACATTGTTAAGAAAGACAGCAAGGGCCAGGGATTTCGAAGTCTCCTGTTTCAAAAGTGTAAGGTCCGAGTTCAATCCCTGGTACAAAAAATAAATAAATAAGTAAATAAACCAGCAGGGACCCACTTTGCCAAAAGGATTGTGAGCTGCAGCACTGCGTTTGGAATGTACTCTCAGCTCAGTGGGAAGGCAGTTAGAAATCCAGGCAGAGATTTTCATTTTGTTTGACCTCAATATCATGAGGTAGGACATGTTACAGGGATTGCCTCAAATTGGGCATAGTGGTGTACACCTGTAATCCTAGTCTCTCGGGAGGCTGAGACAGGAGAATCATGCCCGCATCTTACAAAACAAGCATACAAATTTAAAAAGTAGAAATGCTTTGTCTATAAGAAGTGTCCAGAATAGGCAAAGGCATAAAGACAAAAGCAGTAGCTCTCTGCCTAATCATTAGCAGCTGCCCAGGGGGTGAAGGAGTGGGAATGTGCTACAAGCCACTGAATTGTGCCTTTCAAGATGGTTTAAGTGGGAAATTTTATATTATGTGAATTTAAGCTCAATTTAAAAATATGCATATGTATGAGGTTCAATCCCCGGCACCACAGAACTCCCTTCTGGCACCATATAAGCTCATACATATTTGTGCTTTCATGTGCTTTTGAGAAATTGGCCACTACTTGAGACTTATTTAAGCTATTCACTTTTTATGGTTATTATTTTCATTCTATTTTACTGTAGATTTTTTTATTTTGTTTTGTTTTTGTACCAGGGATTGAACTCTGGGACCTTGTGCTTGTCAAACAGGCAGCAGAACTACTGTAGAATTTTTTTTTTTCAATTTTTTTTTCTTTCTTTTTATTGAGGTTTTTGGTACAATCTAGGTATACAATACAATTACATTCATCCTTGGGATTCTGTACCTTTACATAATAGGTCTTGATTCTCATTTTTCCCCTTGTCCCTGCCCTCCCTCCACC